AGTATTCTTAACCCATATGCTGCAGTCGATGTAAATAAGTTTATATAACGCAACATACAATTTTACAAAAATTGTAAAAGTATTATTCCTGAATATTTATTTTACTTTCAACCACTCGACATGTTCAGTGGCATCAGTGCTATACATACACATGTAGTTCTTATTTTTTTCTTTGTATTTTTGCCCTCTATGGACAATAAAAGTGGTATTGTGCTATGACCAAAACATAAATATAAATCTATATAAGTAAAACATGAATTGGAATATTTCATATCACACAATTTTTATGCTTTGTCTTTGATTTAAAGATGACAATACGCAAAAATCTACAAAAATTGTAGAAATTGTAACACATGGGGTAATTACACACATAAACAATCTTCTTTGTTGTCTCCTTTTCATGACGGCTCGCTATGCGGTGAATGCTGACAAAATTGTGACCACAGTTGTTCCAAACCACGAAAGCTTGATCAGCAGTCTGTCCATGATCACTTTTGTTGACAGTCAGCCGAGTGTCTTGTGGCCTAGAGACGCACTCATCTGACGTCGTCTCTTGGCGCACTCTCCTCTCCTCTCAATATTTGCAAAATACTAACAAATGGAAACGGGAATGAGTGGCATGTTGGTTTTACATATTTTGTCAAATTGTGTGTTAAAAAAATCGAAATATGTGTTGTTATGACACCCTGAGAATGTTTATTTCAAGCCTTTATTTGTTTCGGTTTTGATGGTTATAGCAGAAAATGTCTTGATCCGTTTTGTTTTATGTTGTCTTGCTTTCTTGTGGTTAATGTCTTGGCCTCATGCACTTGATCTGACATGATTGACAGAATCATTATTGTTAACATTATTGAACTTAACATGATTCATTTTGTACAGAACAACTGATGCCTCAATACCACTTTTTGATACCTGATACCGATACCAATACTGCAGCCTCGAGGATCAGCCAATTTCAATACTAGACCTAGACAATTCTTTTTGTCCCTCCAAAAGATGTTAATAATATGTGTTTGTAATTTGCTTGATCCTAAGATCGACAAACACCATGTTCACTATACAACTGCTCACGAGATGAAAAAACATGCAATTATGGCGACAGCTCATTTGTGCATGTCATGCAAATTGAATTTGAGTATGTATGATATGAATAAAAAAAAAAAAATCCAATACCGACGCAACTATTTTGTCCTGAATCGGACTCTATACTGTTCCAGTGGATCGGATCGGACCATCAGAAAACAGATAAACAGGGTGCTATAATGCTGTTGCCACAACTATATTACGGTATTTGATCCAGGTGTTCCATCAACAGAACGTTATTCTACAGTAATTAAGAACTCTCACTTCCCTCCAAAAGTCAATGGCATTGTTATTTAAAAGTTTCTCAGCTTTAGAGTCAGCCCTTTTAGTCTGCTGACTTTTACAAATGAAACATTCAATTTGATGAAAAATACTTGTATCTTACATTAGTTTCCTTTTTATCCTCAACTATATAAACAGCGATGATATGCCAAAGAGTTGCTCGTCACTTGTGAGCTACATACTTGTGAGTTCCGTAAATGGAGTCTGTGCAGTGAGCGCACACTACAAAAGAGTATCAGTTTAGGTTTTTGTTTGATGAGTGATTTTAAGTGCTACACTCACATGAAATGAAGTTTAATGTAACTGCCTCAATGCTGCAGCGTTGCATTATGGTTGGTGCATTACCTGCATATATTAATTTACGGCACTGCAAGAGGAGCATGGATGTAAATATTTTACCTTAAACTACTGTACATAACAATGTACATAATAATAGTGCACAATCCTTGAAAACTGGTTGTACGACCAGACATTTTGAATGGTATTTGTCCACTGAATTATTGTCTGATTGCATTTATATCTTTTACCCATCCGGCCATCCATTATCTGATCCGCTTACCCTCACGAGGGCCACGAGCGTGCTGGAGCCTATCCCAGCCGTCTTTGGGCAGAAGGTGGGGTACATCCTCAACAGGTTGCCAGACAATTGCAGGGTTGTCTTTTACCCGCTTAAATGTTTTTTTGTTTTTTTTTTAATGTAAAATATGTGGTCCATAAGTGAATGGAGAAAAATACATGATTTCTCATGGCATTATTTGGAGAATTTTAAAACCAAGATAAGGTGACTAGCGGCATCTATTTTTTTTTTTTCCACAGAAAGCACTCAACCAAAAATACAAAGAATTACACAATTACATATTTAAAACAACCATGTAGTCTCCACTAGCATACGATGAGAAACGCCCGTGCCACGTTGGCTAACAACTAGCATCTATGTGGCAAGTATTGTCAGCCTTTAAGCAATGAAATGCTGAACACAAATGGTGCAGCAATACATGCAGCCAATATAACAATACTCACATGCACATTTTTTATCTTCTGTGAAGAATGATGAACATCACTGTCATACTGAAAAGTGAGAGGAACTGATTCTCCAGTATAGCAATATATATCCCTGTGTTTGTCCGACACTGCTGCCAGGTGGCCAAGGCGCACACGCCAGGATGTGCAGCAGGCGTGTGCACTGAAGGGAGAAAATGTGACAAAAACGGTGTGATTCTTTTTAATTGTATTTGGGCAAGTTTTGCTTCCATACACGATACATTAGAAAGGAATAGAAAGAGGTTAATGTTCAAGGGTATTTTTTTGCTTGTGTACAGCACTCATGCGATATAACTTGTGGCAGCTCTTTGCTGTCTTTTGGAACGAGATCAGTCTGAATCATTCCATGAAAAGGTTCTCCCCCCAGCAGCTTCCTTGTTCTGACCGGATTGTGTGATAGTCCCAAGAAGGCTGGCCCATGTTCTTTCTTTGGCCCTCTCACCTTCCTGTTAGTTCTCATCCATCTGTGTTCCCTGTCCCAGTAGAAAAATAAGCCTCTCTTAAATCACCTTAAAAGACAAGAACAAGACTTGACAGCTACAAACTGGAGCAAAATAATCTTCTCCCAAACCACACAGACCACAGCAGCCCCATATCTTCATGCCTGTTCCTATCTGTCCCATATCGTCAGCGGCAGAAGCCGCCGGCGCTGCTGTGAGACACAGAGCAGCCCTTGTTTACTGATGCAGACTATATTGATGTGAGCTGATTTCATCAGGCGACACTTTTGGATGCCACATACCCTGCCATCTTTCACTGCCGCTTTTCTACTCCCTATGTTTTTTTTTTGTTGTTGTTTTTTGTTTTGTTTTGTTTTTTTTTGCCCCAAATGTATTTCCTGCGACAAGGCGGACTTATTTCATCGAATAAAAGGACAGCTGATATTTTACAGCAAAAAAAAAAGAAAAACAACTTTGGCCGCTACTTTTTTGCTTGCTTTGACCACTACAACTTTAAATGCCATATTTACAGCAGGCATTTTGACATGGTAAACGAACGGATGGACAAACAAACCTGATGTATCTGCCTTGGTGGAAGTCTGTGCTGGAGGGAAAAAAAAAAAACACAACACAACTTTGGTGGGGACTCTTATATAATTCCAATGGTAAATAATACTTTCTGAAAACATTTTTTTCAAGTGTTTTCATTAAAAATGATCGTGGTCCTGAAGGCTGTCTGTTATGATGACCTTTTTTCAGGAACCCTTAAGATTATATTTTCAGTCCGCCTTCTTCCTAATTGACTTCACATAATACTTTTTTCCTAAATGTTTTTTTTCTTCCGCCAATCAATCGTCAAGTATATTTTTCCTCAAGTTCAAGATGAGTTAGTTTTTTTTTTTTGTGATCAGCAGACCAAAATCTGACCAATTAGCTCACGGGCCTGATCACATTGGAAGCCCCTTTGCGACAAACTGGTTGAACTGTGCCTCCATCCATCATGTATGGTGGTTAGATTTCCCCTCACCATGGCGAACAGCAGCAATTATAACAAATGGATGAGTTCAAACCATCTGTAAGACATTTGATTATCACTGCAGAGCCTTTGTCAAGGGAGGGAGAAAGCCCATAATATTTGATGTGAAATTGCACTAATGACAGCGCCTGAGAAGTGGCCATGCTCTAGGAAATATATCACTCAATGAGAAAGTCGAACCTCTGAGAGGCAGATGAAGACTTTTGCACGCAGCTCCGGGTGGCCTCTGTAAGCATCTCACACATGACTTGATTGGTGCTCCGAGTCATCAGCTCAGCCTCATGTTGCAGATGTTGAAACTAATGTAGCGTGAAGCAAAACAGATGTTTCTTCTGGTGTCTTTCCTCTTCTCCCTCTTGCAGTCAGTGATATTTTAGGACTTGAACAATTGTTGTTCAATTACATTATTGTCTATATTTGTTGGATTTTTTTTTTCCTCACTGAGTCGAGAAAGAAGCTTTTTATTTTTCTTCTTTATAGCACATCAGCCACGTCTTTTTGAATATTATGAGGCCATACAAAAGTTGGTCTCACCCATTTGGTTCAACCGGACAACATGTAATTGCAATTACTTGATGTCAAAGACATCAGAACCTTTCACGTATTACTTTTTTTTTCGCACACTAACAATTGGTGGCAGTATTTGAGTTTGCCAAAATCTCCTCTGCCTGCATCACATGCATGATCCATTCCAGAAATGGCAAGCGTAATTTGATGGCTTGATGATGAAGTGCTGTCTCTGTGAGTGAAAATCTTTTTGAACACTCTTTTTTTTTTTCTTATCAAACCCTTCCAACTGCATGATAATTAAAAACCCTATGTCATTGGTCCCCGTACTGAAGGAGGGCGGGCTGAGCAGTGTTTCATTTTCACGAGACAGAACTGTAACCAAAAACAAACTACCGGTAATCATTTTAGCCAGGGATTTTAAGTGTGCTGTAATTCCTGATTCTTCAAGTATTTTCGTAATTTCAGAGACCTTTCATGAAGAAGACACCTGGGAACTGTTGTAAATTGTAAATTAAAAAAGTGTAACTGCATAATGTATCGGTTACCACACAGAAGTCCAGTGTAAGTCCAGGTTATTCAAAAGTTCACTTTTATTTTTCTTTGCCTAGGACACAGCACTGGACCCAGGAGAAGATGTGGCTCTTCTCTCTGTGAGCTTTGAAGATGCTGAGGCTACTCAGGTCTTCCCCAAACTCTACCTTTCTCCAAGTATTGAACAGTAAGTACACCATTTGCAGCCAGAGCCAATGTGCTCGTATTCTGGCTCGCGATATTGAATTGCACTTCCGGGCGTAAGTCCAGAGCAACGGTGAGTGACGTAAGGAAGTAAAGAAGCAGATCCAAGCGGGATGCAACTGGTGGAAGAAAGTGTCGGTGTGATCTATGACACAAGAGACTCTGCTGGGATGAAGGAACAGGCCAGTCATGATGTACGGCTTAGAGAACGTGACACCGAAGAGACAACAGGAAGCGAGTGAACTCGTAGAGGCGGATGGATAAAGATGTTGAGATTCTCTTTAGGAGTGAAGTCGGATTGGAAGTCAGCTCATGAGAAGGGACAGCCAAGGTTAGATGAGACGTATTTAGAGAGAACAGACTAAGATGATTTGGACAAATTCAGAGGAGACATGGTGAGTATATTGTTGGAAGGATGATGAGGATTGAGCTGCCAGGCAAGACAGCTAGAGGAAGCCCTGAGAGAAAGTTCATACTGTTGATGTAGTGATAAAAGACATGAAGGCAGTTGGTGTTAGAAGGATGGTTTAGATAGGCTTTGCTAAAAAAAAAAAAAATCATAATTTAAATTTAAAAAAACGATGATGTGCGGTGTTGACCCCAAATGGGACAAGCCGAAAGGGAAAGAAGATGAATCCTGGAATTATTCTGTCATGTACAGTTGCAAGAAAAAGCATGTAAACTCTCTAAATACCTGAAGACCACTTTAAGAGAGATTCTCAACAAATTGAGAAAGTTCAGCGCTGTCGCAACTCTCCTTGGGCGAGGCCATCCTTGCAAGATGACTGCAAAAGCACAGTCATCGCAGTGCAAGAATGGTCAAAAGGTGAAGTAAAAAAAATCCCAGTGTCAGCTAAGAGAGTTTAAACCAGAGGTGTCAAACATACGGCCCGCGGGCCGGAACCGGCCCCCAAGGAGGTTCGATCCGGCCCGCGGGATGATTTAAAAGTGGGGGCGGGGGGGAATGCATTAAAGGCACAGAATGAATATTTTAAATAAAATGCAATTCCTGAATTATCCACTAGGGGGCACACTGTTTTGATCACAGTAGAAGACAACATTGTTTTGATCGGGGAAGAAAACAGCAGTCTCAGTCTGTCACCGAGATAGACCCAACGCAGCAAATGATATGAAAGCGCCAATCAATGCTTCTTGAGACCAAAACAAAGGAAAGAGATGAGATTTTGGTGATTCATAGCACAGTATGGTATCATGTTAATGGTTCGGCCCACTTGACATCTACCAAGTCCGTATGCGGCCCACAATGTGAAATGAGTTTGACACCCCTGGTTTAAACTGAAATCTTTGGCACTTGAACACACTGTTGACACGTATTCAAGTAAGACACGAAATAAAAATGGATCTTTTCGGAAGACACCACAGGAGCAATCGCTGTCCCAACAAATATTGCCACAGGGTTGAAGTTTGCAGAAGGGAACCTAAATTTTCCACAGCGCTGCTGCAACTACTGCTGATGCACAGATGAAACAAAGTTGTAAGGAAAGAGGAAGGAACGTGCAGCGCAACATGTAGGTTGTGTGCGTGTATTTTAGGGGTCGGGGGGGGGGGCAGTACGTACCTTGAGAGGCTGAGGAAGAGGGGAGGTCAGCCAAAGGTGACTGCACTTACTGTTGCTTTGGTATAAAGCTTATTATTTGTGGAGGAGTAGATGTTTGGTTTAAAATTAGGGCTATGTACCAGATCATGGCAAAAAGTCCCATCCCCAACTCCAGACTTGGCAGTCAGTTTTTTCGACAGATGCATAGTTAGCATTGTAAATTTAAAGTTGACTATATGTCTCCAAACATCTGGGTTGTTATGAAAACAGAGACTTGACACAAGACAAAGTTCATGTGAACCGTGAGCTTTGAGGAGGGTGTGATGGGAACTTAAAATTGGTTCTTTTTCTTACATACGCTGTCTAGGAGGGGTGAAATGGATGGAGAAAAAAAAGACGATTTGGATCGTATCACGTTTTTGAGTCATGTATTGGATCATTTTTCAGATCAGCAAATTCAAAGAAAGAAAACAAATTGTCCTCCTTTTGTTTTCTAAAACGCTTTTGTCCATTGACTAAAATGACAATTCACTGGAAAATGTCAGAAAAATGAACACAACTTAAAGTGCAATGACGGCATGACATCTTCTTTTCTACATGAATGGCAATGAAAAATATCTCAAGGTGCAATTTCAGGCACATCCTCTTTCTCCATAGGTGGAAAATGATTTAAAAACTAACCTATGTCCACATCGTTGAAAACAAAGAAAGCAAGCAAAGCATACCTGATGTTATAATTTCACATTATCTGTTATGACTGGGATATTCGTAATGGGTCTCCTCCACTCATCACTGCTTCTGGCACTACCTTTGCCAGATTTATGCCTTTGTCACTGTCACAGAGGAGACGTGTCTGCAGCATCGGGTATCTCATTTCCCACTTCGCTTCAACCAATTTGTGGCGAGAGCAAAAGAGGATACCGGGGATAATTTCATCTGAAATGTTCGTCTTTTCCTCCTCATAAAGACACGTTCGCCTCACTGCAGTGGGCTCATGATGGGATTTTATAACATGGTACAAGTACATTCTGCACCTGTTTAGCTTCAGCTTTTAGCCTAATAACATTCTGCAGCAAAAGGTCTGCCTCAATATGTTGTTGAGCAGCCTTCGTCTTGCGACATGCTAGTTCCATGATGATGATGATGATGATGATGGGTGGGGGGAGTTCAAGTTCCTCTACTCCTCCGCTCGCCGTGATTACCGCTGCGCTTGACTAGTTCGTGGGGATTGAACACGCTGCTTTCATGTGAACACACACACGTTCACTAATCGATCCATGGCGCATGCGCGCTCCGAACCGTGGCGAGTGATCCGTATGGATCGCGGATCAAAGATGACCCGTTGCCCCACGACTGACTTGTCTTTTCTTGTCTTGGTTGATAGAATGTATGTATACGTCTGTTAGTTTACATGGTAGTGCCTTGGTCCGTATGTGTATGAATTCATACATGCTTGTGGGTTTTTAATGTTGTGAATGTATGTTTCTACGATGATGTTTTTGTCGCACTAATGAGTGACTCGCCTTCCCGTGTGTGAGTGTGAGAGAGAGAGAGAAGAGAGAGAGAGTGCGCCAGGTATGGGCCCACACTGACCTCAGGGCCCAACGGTCTGGGCTTTCGTGCTTAGAATAATCTTGACCTGATGTTTATTTACAAGCACACGCCCCGTCGCACCAGGTTAGCAGACCTCTGCCCCTCCTCGGTTGCCAAACGCCTCCCCTCTCCCTCTCCTCGTGCAACGTTTGCTCCTCTCCTCTCTGCCGCTTGTGATTTGTCCTGCTCCAGTATCTTTACCTTTTCATCTTATCGGATGCTTTCCCCTTCTATTTCTGCCCATCAGTATGTTTGACCATTTAACTGTCATCTTCAACTTTCATTCCCACACATGTAGCATAAAATTGAGATGAAATGCACATATTGCACGCAGCGGAAAGTCAACCGAATTCTTTTCATGACTTGCAACCACCAGACCAGGTGTGTCAGTCATTTTTAGCCAGAGGGCCTTTATGACTGACATCCCAGACAAACACACATATTGGTGCTCACGTAATTTCAAAATCAATGCCTCTACAAGTGTACTAATGGCCAGTTTTTGATTGCCACTACCACAGATTTAACTGTATTTAACTGTTTATTTTAGTTTACATTGATTTATTTTTTGTGGTCAAAGCACTTTGTTATGCAGAAGAGTAAAATGTTTTCGTTCTATGAAGAACTTTACAATTAGCTTCATTGTTTTTATCAAGACTTTCTTCTCATTTGTCTTTTGTATTGGATCTACTTTATAGGTGGCCGGTTAGCCTCCACTAAATATAGCCTCTCTAACGGCAAAGCGCACGGTTTTAATTACGTCCATATTTTGAGTTTGCTGTGGCTGTGAGGGGTTCTGCTTTCAATATGCATTCTGCAAGCACTCGCAGCATACATTGTATGGATGTTACTTTTCTGCAGTTTTGCTCGAGCCTCTCCTCCTCTGCCAGCTACATGAGGAGATGAGACAGAAGGAGGCTAAAGGCAGTGTGGTGCCGCGTTTGAACTGAAGAGCTCTGGCGCAGAAGTAAAAAAAAAAAAAAAAAAAAAAAATGGTGGCTGATGGTGCTGAAGCGGAGGGGGTTGATAAATGAGGAAAGCAACAGTGCAAATGCAGAAGCTCCCTAGTAGCACTTGGAGCCAAACTCTCATTTGCCACCCTCCTCTTCCTCCTCAGTGTTCGGCTCTTTCTCTAAAGACATTTGCACATATGCATATCAAGGCCCTTTCTGAATATACCCGTTACGCGCTTTTGTGCACCTTTTTGTCAGCTGTGTGGGAGTGTGTTAATTCATGACCTGGGGCGGCTTCTTCACTGTTGTTTCAAAAAAAAAAAAAAAGATTGCATGTGCGTACGAGTTAGTTATGTGTGCATGATTGCATTAGCTGTTATTCATCATGGATGCTCCTAGATTTCACATGGGAATGTGCATTTAGCCCGCCTTTTACCATACTTGCCTTGATGCAAATGTATTGCCCTGTTAGTTTCCCCACATGTCCTTGCTGACCCTTTTTAGTCTTGTAGCATGCTCATTATCTCGACATGGGCTCTGCTGAAGAGGAAAATGTGTCTGTCTGCCATTTTTTTTTTCCCGGCAAGCTGTTGACAGACAGCGAGCATTTATCCAAGTTACTGTAAATTTTAAATGATGAAGCTTGATGAATTTAATGCAGCAGCATCCGTATTGGGCTTAATGCTCTTTAGTTTCCCAATTACGGTATTTGCGACATACATTTGCACCCTTGTTGTCTGGCCATTCATCCTCCTTCTGTCTTTCCTTCTCCTGCTACTCTGTCTGCTTTTCTTTTTTTTTACCTGATTTGTCTTTCCAGTGCTAATTTTGCCCTGCCGTCTTACCTTTCCAACCCCCCCCCACCCCTCAACCATCGCTTTG